TGTTTTAGCTTTTAGCAAATTGGAGTAAATTGCTAAGTTAGTAAATAATATTTTTGGTGTTTTGATTAAAGACAAAATGTTAAAATGGCGAATTTGTCAATAATCAAACAAGGACATTATCTAATAATTGTTATGGCATTTTCCAAATTAATTGTATAAATATTAAAGTTCGTTTGAAAAGTAAAAAAATGATTTCTGAAAAATGAGTTATTTTTCAGAAAGCATTTTTCTTTTAAATGTTTGGCTGCACAGCACAACATTGTCCAAAAGAAATTTTATATTATTATTATTATTATTATTATTATTATTATTATTATGTAATAATGTAATAATAAAATAATAATATTAATAATATAATAACAATCAAAAGAAAAACTATATACTAAATAAAATTAAAATTTAAAAAAAAAAAAAAAAAAAGACAAAGGGGAACCACAGACTCCCCATTGTAAATGATATTGATCATTTTGATCCCACATCGAAAATGTTTGAAATGAGGAACTCTTGAGTTCCTCTATATAAGAGGAGCAATGCTCCTCTTCTAAACATAATTGCTTGCCCATCAACGTGAGCATGTATTGAGAAGTCAAAACGCTCTTATTTAAGAAAATCTTAACTTAATGGCTTTTTATTTTAGTTTTTTTTTTTTTTTGAAAATATTTTTTCTTTTTAATGTTTGGTTGCACAATAAAAAATTGTCTAAAAGAAAATTTATATTATTATTATTGTTATTATTATTATTATTATTATTATGTAATATTGTAATTGTAATAATAAAATAAAATTATAATAATAATCAAAACAAAACTATATATAAAATAAAATAATTTTTTTGTTAAAAAAAAAAAAAAGACAAAGTGTTGTAAATGATGTGCGAAAATGTTTGGAAAAAAGGAGATTTCTCCTCTATATAAGAGGAAAAAAAGAGCTTTCTCCTCTATATAAGAGGAGCAATGCTCTTCTTCGAAACATAATTTCTTGCCCTTCAACGTGCGCTTGAGAAGTCAAAAGTCTCTTATTTAAAAAGCCTATATTTTTGTTAATGTTCGACTGCACAGTAGAAAATTATCTAAAAGAATATTATTATTATTATTATTATTATTATTATTATTATTATTATTATTATTATTATGTAATAATGTTATAATAAAAAATTACAATAATAATAATATAATAATAATCAAAACAAAATAATATACAAAATAAAGTTAAAATTAAAAAGAAAAAAGACAAAGGGGAACTGGCTCCCCCTTTGTAAAAGAGGAGCTCTTGAGCACCTCTATATAAGAGGAGCAATGCTTCTCTTCCAAACATAATTGTTTGCCCATCAACATGGGCAAGTTTTGAAAAGCTAAAAGACTCTTATTTAAAGACTTAGCTTAATGACTTCTTATTCTATTTTTTTTTTCAGAAAATATTTTTTCTTTTTAATGTTTGGCTGCACAGCAAAATATTGTCTGAAAAAATATTATTATTATTATTATTATTATTATTATTATTATTATTATTATTATTATTATGTAATAATAAAATAAAATTACAATAATAATAATATTAATAATAAATAATATAATAATAATCATAACAAATCTATATACAACATAATTTTTTTTTTTAAAAAAAAAAAAAGACAAAGGGGAGCCACGAGTTCCCCTTTATAAATGATGTGGGATCATTTTGATCACACATCGAAAATGTTTAGAAAGACGAGCTCTTGAGCTCCTCTATATAAGAGGAGCAATGCTCTTCTTCCAAACATAATTACTTGCACATCAACGTGGGCAAGCATTGAGAGACCAAAATGCTAATATTTAAGAAGTCTTAGATTAATGACTTCTTATTTTAATTTTTTTCAGAAAACTTTTTTTTTAATGTTTGGCTACACAACAGAAAATTATCTAAAAGAAAATTTATATTATTATTATTATGTAATGATATAATAATAAAATAAAATTACAATAATAATAATAATAATAATAATAATAATAATAATAATAATAATCAAAACAAAATTATATATAAAATAAAATTAAAATTAAATAAATAAATAAATAAATAAAAAAAGACAACGGGGAGCTACGGACTCTTCTTTGTAAATGATGTGGGATCATTTTGATCAAACATCGAAAATGTTTGAAAATATGAGCTCTAGGAGCAATGCTCCTTTTCCAAACATAATTGCTTGCCCATCAATGTGGGCAAGTATTGAGAAGTCAAAATGCTTTTATTTAAGAAGTCTTAGTTTAATGGCTTCTTATTTTAGTTTTTTTTTTTAAAATTTATTTATTAGGGTTGTTTGGGAAATATTAACCCAAAATGTATATATGTTGTTTTAGTTTTTAGCAGTTTGGAGAAAATTGTTGAATTATTAAATAATATTTTTAATTTGGTGTTTTGATTAAAGACAAAATGTTAAAATGACGAATTTGATAAAATTTTGGCGTTTTTGTCAATAATCAAACAAGGCAATTATCTAATAATTATCATTTGGAAAGTAAGAAAATAATTTATGGAAAATGAGTTATTATTCAGAAAACATTTTCCTTTGACTTTATTACAATGTAGTATCAGCTAATAACGCCTCGACAAAGGCTCGAACTCACAACCTCCCATATGGGAATCCAACCCAGGTGCCATCTAAACACAAGGTGCTTAGCAAAAGAGAAAAGAATATGATATTACTAATTGATAGAAAATACAAAATGGTCACTAATTGAGTGATATTCTACCATTATATATTTTCACCCGAGTAACCCGTCCTGATGGACTGAAGGTGTTACCTCTAGACGAGGATGGACAAGATCGTGTTGCCAATACCAATGTCGTCTACAAAGAGGTTTCAATAATGTGTAAATATAATCGGTGATATTATGTTTTTTTTTAATGAAAAAATTATTATATATCTAGACCAAAAATATATCTTCCATACAAATGAATTAGGATAACAATTCATCTATAACTGAGTTGTTAAAGAACGGGCACATTTGTCTAATTTATGAAAATACTAAACAATGATAAATAAAATCTTCAAAGTTATAGCACTGCATGCGTACATATAGACATTAGCTATTAATTTGAACAATTATTTGCACAAATTCAAGCAATGATAACATCAAAATACATAAACGATCCAAATCATATCTTTAATTGCACTATATAATAGTTTAAATAATTATATATCGATTCAAATATTCTTAATATATTACAACAAATCCATTCCGTGCATCGCATGGGTGAAAATACTAGTTGTAGCTAAACTAGTATTACTAACAAGTTTGCTATCCAGATATGGGCACTGTCAAATGTGAGCAGTTAAGAATTTTACTACATGTACTTTTAAGTTTTAACTAGCTCACTTTGATAAATTGTTTCAAGTTATCTCTATTGTGTGTGTTTCAAAAAATGTGTTTATATTAAGAATTTGAGAGGGATAAAAGTTGGGAGTAGAAGATAGAGTTTACAGTGTGTTTTCCTTTCATTAAGGCTCAAGGTTTCTACTCTGCATCAATGCATTCAGATGGCTAGGACGACGACATGTAATGGATAGGTTTATAAAGGTTAATTTAGACGGTTTATAAGCGCAGTGGTGAGTTGATAGATTGATCAAAATCTGATAATCGGCCGTGCACTTAGGTTAAAATAATAATAATAATAATAATAATAATAATAATAAAGACAAGAAACTTACCAGACACATGAGTTTGACAAAAAAATTGGTAGAGTGGTCAGAATTATTGTGTGTGATGAAGGTTAATTACTGTGTGATGAAGGTTTATATTGAAAGCATAAACAAAAAAGGAAAGGAAATATTTGAAAATAAAAAGAAGAAAAGAAACTATATATTTTAGATTTCCATAAGGATTAAAATTCCTAAGTTACTTAGGAATCTTTGATGCAATTATTACTCCCAAGTCAAATCAAATATATTCGCAAATTGTAGAGTACGGGGGCTGGTGACATAATAATGGGACAAGCACCCGATCCAAGACCATCTTAGTGAGAGCAACAAGCACTTGACTTGGAATCACCTTAAGAAGGCGAATTGTCATAATCATTTACTACAGAGTCATTTACTACCGCTTATTCAAGACAGGACATTATGATAAATAAAGTACTCGCCTCCTCATTATTATGTAACCGTTACTTAACGTTAGAAGACCACCTCAGTGAGGGCAACAAGCACTTGACCTGGAATCACCTTAAGAAGGCCATTTGTCATAATCATTTACTACAGAGTCATTTACTACCGCTTATTCAAGACAGGACATTATGATAAATAAAGTACTCGGCTCCTTGTTATTATGTAACCGTTACTTAACGTTAGAAGACTAGTATAAGTAAGAACTCTTTTTCTAAGCAGGGGACACGCTGAAACTTTGTACTAGACTCTTGAGCAATACAAAATCACTTATACAATTATTTTGATAACATATTTACGGTCAATTTATTTCTTGGATATCCCTGGCCTCCTTTGGTGATAAAAAGAAAAAAAATAAAACTAAATAAATACACCCCACACAAATATACATATTTTCTTATATGATGTGGTGGATTTGTAGTGAGTACCCTGCATTGATTCTTTCACTAAAGTGATTATTGAGTCACTATAATCTACCTTTCTATAATTTTGTGAGGCCGAGAAATAGAAGCCAATGAGAAAATTTGTATACAAACCAGTACTCCATCCGTCACGAATTCGTTGTCATATTTACTTTTCGCACGCTTTTTAAAAAGTTAAAGTAAATATTATGCGTTTTTTCAGTTATATCCTTAATTTTCTTACTTTTGAAAATAAAACTAACAAATAATACAAAAGTAATAATAGTAATAATAATCATATTCAATTTTGAGAAGAGGACAATATTTTAAGACAAACTAAAAAAGAAAATAAGAGAGATAAAATGAGACCGGGGAATAACTATTTTCTAAGGATCGGAGAAGAAAGGGCAATCAATCGGGTATACCGGATAGTAAATGCGGAGCCCACACCAATCGCCCAAATTCAAATTTGAGGGAACGAATCGAAACAAAAAGTCAAAAAGCGCAAACAATTGAATTAATTACAAAAATGTGGGATGGACCCCACTTGTAGGTGTCCGTTGGCAACAGTAAACTCAAAATCCGAAACCTTTTTTCTCCCTTCCAACTAACACCAATCTCTGGCCTTACCAGACCGAGAAATCAAGAACACTTCACCGCAAAATCAGATCCATTCAAGAAAACTCTCCAAATCTCTGAATTCCCAAACTTCTTCCCAAAAGATGCTGCAACCCTTCAGACCAGAACCAGAACCGGAGATCTAAACGATGTCGTGTTTGGCTGAAGACCCAAAGGCTGTTTCTTCTCCGGCCCGGAGATGGTCTGGGCTATGGATGAAGAACAAGAAAGCTATAAACAATGTCCTCTTCGCTATGCACCTTCAATCTTTACCCAAACCCCCTAAAAATTCCCACCCCGTTTCCTCTTCTCCGCAGTCGATTAAGGCCCAAGACTTCGCCGTTCCGGTGCCGGTCTCCGATCGGACCTCACTCCTCGCCGACGAAACCCTTCTCTATATTCTCTCTAAGCTCCCGGATTCTCAAAGGAACTCCAATTCTCTCGTGTCCAAGCGGTGGCTCAATCTCCAGGGCCGCCTTGTTAGGTCCCTCAAGCTCCTTCAATGGGACTTCCTCGTCTCCGGCAGGTTATTTCACCGGTTCCCCAACCTCATCCACGTCGATTTGGTCAACGGCTCCGTGGTTTCGCCGCGAAACTCCGGTATTTTCTGTTCCAACAACGCTGTTTCCTTCCATGTCGATTCTATCCTTAATCCCAACGACAATGGCTCAAAAATCCTGTTGGGGTCCCAGGAAATCGACGCGGGGCTGGAGGTTTTAGCCAATGGGTACCCCAATTTACGAAGACTCTCGGCGATGAACGCTAGCGAGATGGGCGTTTTGAGCGTGGCGGAGGACTGCCCAACTCTGCAAGAACTGGAATTGCACAATTGCAACGACCAGGTCCTGCGGGGGATCGCCGCGTGCCACAATTTGCAGATATTAAGGTTGGTCGGAAACCTCGACGGGTTTTACAAATCCTCGGTGTCGGATGTCGGGTTGACGATATTAGCGCAGGGGTGTAAGAGGCTTGTGAAGCTGGAGTTGAGTGGGTGCGAGGGGAGCTATGAAGGGATCAAAGCCATTGGGCAGTGTTGCCAGATGCTGGAGGAGTTGACGATCTGTGATCATAGGATGGAGGATGGGTGGTTATATGCTCTTTGTTATTGTTGGAGTTTGAGGACTTTGAGGTTTGTGTCGTGTGGGAGGATTGATAGGAGAAGTTCGGAGTTTTCTGAGGAAATTGGGTTTTGTCCCACTCTTGAAAGATTGCATTTGGAGAAATGTCAATTGCGAGATGGGAGTAGTTTGGGGGTATTGTTTTCTGTTTGTCAAGAAGTTAGGGAAGTTATGTTCCACAACTGCTGGGGATTGGACAATGATATGTTCAGAACTGCTCTTATTTTCAGGTATTAGGTTGCCTTACTCTTTTGTTCTTTTCCCCATTTTGCTGTCCCCCACAAGCTTTCTTTATATTAACTGTTAGATCAAATGTTTACTAAAAGCTAAAGCTAAGTAATGAGATGACACAATTTTATTTCCTTGTATCTCTCACATTTTGGAGTAGCGAGTGTTGGGCTGGGCCCTTCGGGCCGCTGCCCAGCAATCCTTTAGCCACCTGGTGTTGGACTTGTCCTTCAGGCCTCTGCCCAAATCTTCATCCCAGCTCGGTAGACGTGAGTGGCCATACACTCTCATTCCTTAGGTCAGGAGTTCCAACCCCCTCTCGTATGGAAAAACTAATCTGGCTAGCACTTTGCCCCTTAATTGGGTCGATCCGGTGCGAATGGGGATTAGTCTGAGTATGATACGGGCTTAAAGGTGCCTCCTAAAGCTAGGACCTGCTCAGGACACTATCCTGACAAAAAAATAATCATTTAGCCATCTGGTGCTGGATTTGGCCCTTCACGGGTCTCCACCCAACTCTGCAGTACAATTAGATAAATTTAATCCAAATATGCACTTTAGATAGCTTATGGTATGTATCTGTAGTAATTACTGATTAGTAAAGCACAATATAATACTACCAAACTAGAGAAAACTAAATGTTGGGAAAACAGAAATTCATTGCAAATCTTGGCTAGTTGACAGTGAATGTTAAAAAATGGGATTTGATCGACGATGTGCATAATGTTGTGTTGACAGGAGAGTGAAGTTCCTATCCATAGAGGGCTGCTCTCGACTCACAATCGAGGGTCTGGAGCATGTTCTCCTGTCGTCGAAGGAGCTTCGGAGCCTGAGAGTGGTGTCCTGTAAGAGCATAAAGGACAGCGAAACCAGCCAGGCGCTTTCTGCGCTGTTCTCCTCGCTCAAGGATCTGAAATGGAGACCGGATACAAAGTCGCTCGTTTCTGCCACCATTGCTGGATCTGGCATGGGGAAAAGAGGCAGTAGGTTCTTCAGAAAGGGCTGTGACTGGAAGTCTCTGCCTGGTGCATAAACCCTTTCCTAGCTTCCTTCATGCAATTCTGCAAGCTTTGAATGAATGTGGCCTTCCTCACTGCCATTTTCAATGTACCAATTCTAAGTAATCCTGCCTAGCTTGTGTTGTTTCAGTGTACCAATACTAAGTAATCTGGCCCTGTACTATATCAATGTTATGTAGTGTAAGGTACCCATGGAGTGTTGGATGCGATGACAGAAATCTCTTCGTCTAAAGACTCTTAAGATTCTATTGCAGGGCGTCTATTATTATAATTTATTGTACCAATATTATATTTATTTGAGTAGGTTAATGTTGTAAACTTATAATTCACTATGACTTTGGTGAATCCTTAAAGAGGTTAGGGGACATTTGGTTTATACCTCAATTTTGAGGTGTGGAATCGATTACTATTTTAATGTTCATCAATCAATCCTTCTATATAATAAACTATAGAACTTTGGTTAATCAGATTATGATATTTTCCCGTCTAGTAAAAGTGACGCCGTTTTGAATTATCTATTTTTAAGATAATCTCTGAATTTTATTTGTGTTAAGTGATTAAGTGAGATATTTTATTTCTCAAATCTTAATATACCAACATGGTATACACCTAAACTAATCCTATACAATATTATTCACAAACCCTATTTGAAGAATCCTTTTTTTTTTTTTTGGGTATACCTCGGGTTTTCACCGTCCGACACCGTGACTAATTCCCTCACTGAATTATAGGCACCTCTTTTGGGTGGGACAACTGACCTGGAGATTTAAGGCTGCTTCATTCCCAAATGTCAAGATTTTGTAAGTCAATGAGGAAGGATTTTATTTTTAATGGTACAAATACAAATGTTAATGTATACATACTTTTATTTTTTTGTAATATTTATTTAAGTTTATATGTGTCCCCTATTCTTAGATACTAGTAATTCACTCGCGCAATGCACGGAAAAAAATTATGTTATTATAAATATAAATAAAAAATAAAAAAACTAAAATATTTTAAATTATTTAATATAATAATATTTTTGAGCTTCCATTGGTCAAGTATTTATTATTTTTATAGAATACAAAATTACAACTAAAATTAAAATTAATATTAAAATTATAATTTTGTATGGTTAATATAATCTCTAATTATGTTCATATTCAAATAAACTTATAGAGAGAATTTACATAATTACATTGATTTATTCTTAATTGTATTTCATCTATATTATAATTTTCACAATAGTATATTTTTTATATGATTATATAATATATAGCTATTTTATTTTGTATGGTTAATATAATCTCTAATTATGTGCATATTCAAATAAACTTATAGAGATAATTTACATAATTACATTGATTTATTCTTAATTTTATTTCATCTATATTATTATTTTCACAATACAAATAATAACTAAGATAATTACATTTGGAAAGTAAATTTTAAATTTTGTATGTGTAAATTTAAACTCTAATTGAACATATTTTTTATATGATTATATAATATGTAGCTATTTTATTTTTCAAAAGTATATTTTTTATATGATTATATAATATATATAGCTATTTTATTTTTTAAATGTTGTTTTTTTTTTTTTAATAATAAAGGATGTTGTGGCATTAATTGTAACATTAATTATTTCCCAAACCATATAGCTTTATTATATAAAGGATTATACTCGATCCTAAGCTTTGACCATATCAATTAAAGCGGTGCTCCATCTCAACTAAAAATCTAAACTTATAGTTGGATTGCACATTAATGGTTATATGCTCAACAATATCTAACTTTAGAGCAGCTAGCCCAACCAACCTGGCCAATCTGCTTCCTCCTCAGAAAATGACCTATCTCAGATGCAATCAGGATATTATCTGTTAAGTCTACCAGGCAAAAAGGCACTCTGGGATACATAAATAATATTATCTAGCATAGGTTTCATACGATTTGCAACCATCTTAGCCATAATCTTATAAACCATAATAGGCCTAAGACCAGAGACTAATTCTGGCACAAATTTCTTAGAAATCAAGACAATATTAGCATCATTCAGCCCCTCCGAGAACGAAACATCAGATAAACATGCATCTCAAAACAAAATTCGTTACAACAACGAAATCCTTCTATATAATATAGAAGAATTTCTTAACATCTCTTATTTCAACAAAGTAGGGAAAAAGTTTGTTAGAATTGTACAACAACCATCCTTCTAAAATATAATTTTAGATGCAGTTAAAATGTATGGCCTACTTATAAGCACACTTCATTTGGTTGATAAGGACATCCAATTTGCTATGGGGTACATTTATCTTGTAATGGAGCAAGCAAAATAAGCTATATCAAGGCTTTCAGATGTAACAAAAAACAAGTACAAAATGGTGTTTTAGATTACTGTGATAGAAGATGGAGCTCTCTACTTTGTTAGCTATTGCATGTAGTAGCGTAACACTAGAATCCATACTTCTTTTGGTTTCATGACAAGACAAAGGTTACTCCTAGGTCCTGTTTGGTAAAATGACTGTTAGCTGATTGTGTTAATTAGAGGGTATAAATAGTTGATAACATTAGCTGATTGTAGAAAAGTGTTTGGTAAATTAACTGTTAGCTGATAGCTGTTTGGTATAATTTTTTTTCTTAAAAAGCTAATTGAAAAAGTTGCTTGGAGTAGCTTTTTGAATTTTAGCCTTTTGGAGTTGCAAAAAGCTAATTAACCAAACATTTATATTGATATTTTAACTAAATTAAACAATTAATAATGGTCAAATAAGCTAAAATTGGCCTATAGGTCAATTTTTTTATCAAACAGGCCCTAGTGTCATATCAATGAAAATGATAGCTATATTTTATGATTGTTTGGAATGATTTGTAAGAAAACAAATGAGGTTTTTTTATTTATTTTTATTTATTATTATTATTTTTTTTTTGTGAAAGGAAATGAGGTTCTCTAATTTATAGAGAAAATGTTAATGATAGAAGTGTTTTTGGTGATGTGGTATGTCAACTAAGAAAACTGTGAATGTGTATTATGTATTGTAATGAACACTAGTACAAAAAGGTATATCCGCTACACATGTACAGGTGTAGGCGTGTAGTGGAAAGCAATGACCCAAAAAGTGCAGACTTTTCGTCGTGACACACTGTAAAATATTTTTTTTTCTTTAATCAAGGCTTTCCCGCAGCACTCACTAAAGGCTGTGTGTCGCGAAAATATTTATTTAATTTTAAATATTTTATTTAAATTTTGAAAATTACCTATTTTTTTTTATTCAAAACATGTACAAATTCTCCAAAACCACCAAATCAACACAAAAAATTACAAAACTAATAACAAATATTATTACTCCCTAGCTGGCTGTGCTACCACTACAAGAAAAATGCACATAGACAACACTAGAAAGACAACAGTTTTTAAGAAAAGTGTTGTCTTTTGTTTAAAAGACAACAGTTTTGTCTAAAACCGTTGTCTTTGATGCAACACTTTTGTCAAAGACAACGGTTTTTACTTAACCGTTGTTATAAGTGTGTTGTCTTTGTGCATTTTATGAAAAGACAACACCACAACGACAACAGTTTTTTAAAACCGTTGTCTATGTGCGTTTTTTTTTAAAGAAGACAACGGTTTTTTTAACTGTTGTCGTTGGTGTGTTGTCTTTAAGCGCACTGGAATACACAACACTAAAAAGATAACGGTCAACCGTTGTCTTTGTGCGCTTTTTTTTTTTTTTAAAGACAACGGTTTTATTTAACCGTTGTCGTTGTTGTGTTGTCGTTAAGCGCACTCAAATACACAACACTAAAACGACAACGGTTTTATATAACCGTTGTCGTTGCGCGTTCTTTATTTGTTTAAGACAACGGTTTTATTTAACCGTTGTCTTTGGTATGTTGTCTTTAAGCGTATTTGAATACACAACACTACAAAGACAACGGTTTTAAAAAACTGTTGTCTTTGAGCATCATTATTTAACAAGTATATAAAATGAAAACAAGGATGTTAACAATAAGAGTTGAACCTATAACCTCAAACTTAACAAATAAGTGGTCTAACCAACTAAGCAACATAAACTCTTATTTCTAAAGGTGCAAAATCTTATATATAACTGAGTTGCTTCTGTGTTGTTTGTGAAAATCAAGACAACAATTTTAGAAAATAGTTAAAGAATGCCCCCCAAGAAAAATAAAACCTAAGACTTCTAACATAATAAACTAAGCTAAACCCACCAAGCTACACTAACTATTGTTTACTCAAATGCAACATCTAGTATATTACCAATTTGCTTATGTGTTGTCTTTGAGAACCAATACAATGATTGTATAAAATAGGTTAAGAATGCCACCACAAAGGATAGAACCCAAAACCTTTAACATAACAAACAAAGCTAAATCCACCAAGCCACACCAACTATTATATATTTAAATGTTACACCTTATCTTTTACCTATAATTTAACAAAGAAAGAATACAATTCAAAAGTTAATTTAATAGTTCTATTTTCCTTCATATTTAAATATAAAATTATTCACCAAAATTTCAAAGTAAATTCATTGACCCTTCCGGCTAGCGCATGACTGACAAGGTTAGCTATATGTTGGTAATCGATCCTTCCGGCTAGCGCATGACTAACAAGGTTAGTTATGTTGGAAATCGACCATTCCGGCTAGCGCATGACTAACAAGGTTAGCTATATGTTGGTAATCGACCCTTCCGGCATGCCTGGGACACGTTGAGAATGGATATGAAAGAGTAGTTGATCGATGCCGTACAGTTAGCTATATCCCATTTCTTTTGCCGCGATCTTAATTAGCTCTATGTTCATAATTACCAAACTATATATTCATAATTTTTGAATTGAAATGCATAATCATAATTGAATAACTCTTATCTATATTCACAATTACAGAACTTTATGTTTATAATTTGCGATGTTCATATTCCCAAGTGTTGATAACTATACAGTTTAGAAATTATGAATCAACAATACAGAAATTATGAATCTGCAGTATAGAAATTATGAATTTACTGTATAGAAATTATTAATCTATACAACTGTATTTAAATTAGAAATATACTGTATAGAAATTATGAATCTACATTATAGAAATCTATGAATCTCGTGTTCTGTACCTATATACCGAGTACTATTTTAATTGACTGGATGTAGCGACCCGAGTAATTAAACTAATATTTTGGGACTGTATGTCTTGTGCATGACCGAATATAGTCGTGTGCTACAGTTTGTATGTCACATGCATACATTTGTTAATTAATAGAGCTTGGTTTCGAACCTGATGTTTACATGAATTCTTGTGTGCCATTATGTATTAAATTGTGTGTCTGATATTAATTTGTTGTGTGCCCATTATTTGTCAGCACAATCCTCTATATATTTTTGTCCTCATTTGAACTCAACCATATATATATATATATATATATATATATATATATATATATATATATATATATATATATATATATATATATATATATATATATAATTTTATTTTTTAATTTTATATGATATACTACATTGATTAAATAAAATTGAAATATAATTTATTATATAACATCGTTTTATTATTAGAATTGATCTTATAACTTCAAATACAGAAATTATGAATCAACAAATACAGAAATTATGAATCTGCAATATAGAAATTATGAATCTACTGTATAGAAATTATGAATCTATATTATTGTATTTAAATTAGAAATATACTGTATAGAAATTATGAATCTACATTATAGAAACCTATGAATCTCGCATTTTGTATCTATATACCCAGTACTATTTTAATTGTGTCTATCGACCTAAATAATAAAACTAATATTTTCTTACAAAATTTCCCTCTAAAACAAAATTTTCCTCTAAAACAAAATTGGGAACAAAATTTCCAGACAAAATTTCCCACAAAATTACGAACGAAATTGGGACAAAATTTCCCTTGCTCGCCGACTACCATTGTCCTCAGACATCTTCGCAGTCAGAGTGCTCTTCACCAACCGCCATTGTCCTCAGACATCTCCGCCTCCGCCGACCGCCATTCTCCACACTAGCCATCTCCGCAGTAAAAACATTTTAGTTTAGAAATCATTACAGAGCTCCAAGTGAAAGAAGATATACTAGGGTTTAACCATTCCTCCTCTCTTTTCTCTCTTCATATCTGGAATCTCAGAAAATTATCGATTTCTGCAAACTCAACTTTCATGGCTTTCAATTGAGATCTCCGAAGCTCCTCCTCGGTCGTCGCCTCCGCAGCAGGTACGTACAAAATGTTTTTGTAATTATTTAATTTTTCTATTTTATTTTAGCAGAAGCAGCTACTAGCCAAGGGGTCGTTGGTTGAGGACCTGAGGTGTGCACAGACGAAGAAGGCTTCACGGGAACGTGGTTTGGGGCCGTCATTCTTGACCCTAATCCTCCTCCTCCATCTTCTTCTCCTTCTTCCACTACATGATTCGGTTCCAAAAAGAAGAACGCCTTTGGAACGCCAAGGTCTACATCGAGTATGTAAACCTTCTCAAAAATAAAAATTTTAATTTATTGGACAAAGTAGATGCATATTATGATTTTGGCTGGTGGAGAGGAGTGGTAAACAAAGTACTTGCTGATAATAGTTATAGTGTTTTCTTTAAACATGGGAAGAAGGAGAGGCTGCTCAATCACTCAGAATTAAGACCTCACATGGATTGGAAGGATGGAAAATGGTATACTTCTCAGGTATGCTCCTGACAATAGCTCATAATCATTTTTGTTTGTCATACTTGGAAGAAATTGAGTCTATGAGCCAGTATCATAACAAATTAACAACTTGTGTGGGTGAATCATTGTTTTATTACCAATCACAAATTTTGTGTTGAATGCTGTATTCATACTGGAAATTATTATCCGCATTACTTATTAATCACCATCTACTTCAGAGATGAAAGATTCTTGTGGGAGAAAGGCATAGTGTTATTTTATATATTTAATTTTTCTGTTTATTGATGTTAAATATATTATACATTTATCTTTAGTGTATAAGTTTTTGCATAAAAGAACTTATTCTCTAATTTTCACATCAAAAAAGCCAGCTGATTAGTTATTCTCAAACTGCATAGAACTTATTTCTTTTTCTATTGTGGAGTATCTTCCTATTTCTTAATTACTTGTTCACAAAAGTATGCCTGATGTTTATTTGCATTGATAGTGGAGTCATTTCACTCACTTGAAAAAAATACTCTCGGTCAACTAGAGGGTGCTGTGTCACTTGGTAATCTTTGAATTTTTTTTATTATTAAAATGATTTTACATTTCAACAGATGCTATTTATTAGATTGTGGTGAAAAGGTATTTTTTTGGGTTGGCCGTGTAACACAAGTGAATGAGAGGAAATCTGCTATTCAAGCTGCAGAGGTAGAAAATCTGTTTTATGCCCTTCTTAGTTAATTTTATGTGTGTTATTTAATGTGATAGAGATTCTCATACCTTTATACTAAATGATATCCTCAGGAGTTCATAGACTCTCAAAATAGACCCAAATCGATGTGTATTACTCGGCTTATTCAAGGTTATGAGACACATTCATTCAAGTCCATTCATTCGCCCTTCGCCCATTACCGCAAGCTCGCCGGTCGCCACCATTCTCCTCGGTCGCCGCAAGGTACGTCCTTTAACTTTTTTTAGTGCCTCTCAATCTCAAGGTAAGCATTTTCGTTCTAAACATTCAATAGGATTTTTGCTGAATATGCATATTCTGAATTCTCTGTTGGACTGAGGAGAATTTCATGCAAAATGACTTCAAAAGACAGCAGAGGTGAATCAGGTGATATTTTGATTTTCGACCTTAAAAGCAAAAGATTAAAAAGTTTCAAAATGGGAGTAGTCAGTTTAAGTTAGAAGTCTGTCATTGTATTTGTTCAAAATGGGAGTAGTCAGTTTAAGTTAGGGTTTTCCTAAATACAGAAGAATAAATATTTTTGAACTTAATGTAAAGATTTGTCAGTATAAAATAATATATGTAGGAAGTTTTATAGCCTAAATGATGTAGAATGCTGACAAATTATATTATTACCATCAAATAAAAAAACATAGATTTTTTAGCTTAGAAATGAACATGCAAATAAAAGAACACATAGTATAGTTATGTTGGCTATATATTGATATCTTCCAACTAATTGATTTAAGTTTATCATTTCATAAACATATAAATGATGAATAGAAGAAACAATGATCAGGTAATATTAAGCTTTCAAAATTGATTAAGATTATTGTACCTTTGTTGTCAATTCCTTTTGCTGGTCTATAATTGTAGAACTAATTATTGACCTCATACTTTGATTTGACTGCCTTTTAGTTTTGAATTTATGTAAATAGATTGAGTTGATGAAATTTCAATCTGTCATTTTTTGTGGTATTTATTTGTAAAGCGTTAAGTATTCAATTCATAAAGCTTTTGATTACAATTAAAAGTATGACTATTCTTTTTTTTTTTTTTTTTTTTTGGTAATGAACAATGTCTGCTACTTTTTTCTCATTAAATCTTCTTGTTCCCCCTCTTATTGACATTAAATAATTATGATTGAGATTTCTTAAAAGTAACTAACTTTTTTTTTTTCAAGTTGATGGCAAATGATGAAAAGACAATTCTGATGCCCTAATTTTCTTTAGAATTCTTAAAATTGAAAGCAGATGATGGACCTAATGTTCTGATGCATTAGATTTTTATTGGCAGCAATAAACTGTGAAGTTGCATTATTAGTTTTAATGCTATCAATTCTATATAGCATGTTGCTTCAAGTTTATAAGTTGATGGCAGATAGTGAGAATAGCATCATTCTTATGCCTTAGGTTTATCTTCTATTGTTCTAATTGATAAAAGAGTTCTCAGAATTAAATTATTTGAGAATCTTTACATTTTCAATTTATGGCAGAGCAATAGAACATTCATCTGATGCCCTATAGTTGTTTTTTATGACAGAGCAATGGAAAACTAAATCGAACAGTGAAGTTTGTTTGTTTGTTTGTTTTTTTGTTTTTTTGTTTTTTTTTTTTTAGATTTTTAAATACAGCTAAAGGGCCGGGGCAGATACAAATTAGTGTTTTTCAACCACTGTTTGATTGTTGATCATGTATGAATGATTTTAACACTGTTTTGTTTGAAATTTGAACTCTTCATATGAAATATCTGACCTGCTGACTGCAAAAAATAAAATTAGGCAAAAAAACAACCTAGACAAAAATTAATTCATTTGCAGATAAGTTTTTGGTCTAAAAAATAGTAACTAATTTTTTTATCTAGATTATTTTAGGCAAATTTGCAATATTGATCTTCTTGTTTCACCCAACAATATTATATCACCATTCAAAGGTGATATTGATTCAGTCTCCAAATCCCAACAATAAGTTAAATTTTTCTTGTTTAATGGTTGCCAACTTCGACTTTTTAAGCCCTTTGGATGAAGAAAACTAATCCAACATGTGCATCTTTTCACAGCACCAGATTCTTGAGTCTCAACATCATTCTTTTTTAAGTGATCTGCAGTGATTGGACTGTTGAACTCATCAACTTTAGATGCTTTCTGAATTGGACTGTTGGCAGTATAATTTTGAGTACTCAATTTATTGTTGAAGTCTATTGATTGAATGCTTTTTAGTTTTTAATTTGATACTTTTATTCACAAAGTTTAAAGTGGAGAGATCAGAGAAAAGACAAAAGATCTTGCCTTTAGAACTGCTAAAACTCTATTACCATATAGTGGTTCTTGCAAATTACTCCTAACTTATTTCGAATTTCATAGCAAATTTATTATATCTATACTAATTTATTTACTCACTTTTTACATGTAGTTTCAACAAGTTGATTATGACAAAGCGGTTATTGATCTGGTGCGTTCAGAATGTGCCGATATTCTATCAAATTATATAGAGTAGGTATAATTTGACGTTGTAATCATTTAGACTTGGTTCGTAGAATTGTTTTTTTTAGTATTATGACTTGGATGATGATTGGATTAGAATTGGTAATGAAAGTATTTTGACTTCTTATTTTGAATCTTGCTTAGCTTCTTCAAAATTATGTAACTACACTTGGCCATGCATGGTGAATGGATAAATTGATTTTTTTTTATATGATTAAAATTTAAGCAGGTTAAAAATGGGTTGAGACAACGGTTAAAAACCGTTGTCTATTTTATAATAGACAACAGTTTGAAACTGTTGTCTTTTCTACAAAAGACAACAGTTTATGGGTGTCACTTTTAACAACACCGGTTTCAACAACACTTAATAGACAACGGTTAAAAAACCGTTGTCGTTGGTAGAAAAGACAACGGTTAATAACCGTTGTCTATTGCGTGACTTAACAACACTTAATGGACAACGGTTAAAAAACCGTTGTCGTTGGTAGAAAAGACAACGGTTAATAACCGTTGTCTATTGCGTGACTTTTAACAACATCGATTTCAACAACATTTAATAGACAACGGTTAAAAAACCGTTGTCGTTGGTAGAAAAGACAACGGTTAATAACCGTTGTCTATTGCGTGACTTTTAACAACACCGGTTTCAACAACACTTAATAGACAACGGTTAAAAAACCGTTGTCGTTTCTAGAAAAGACAACGGTTATTAACTGTTGTCTATGTGCGTGACTTTTAACAACACTTAATAGACAACGGTTAAAAAACCGTTGTCGTTTCTAGAAAAGACAACGGTTATTAACCGTTGTCTATGTGCGTGACTTACAACAACACCGGCTTCAACAACACTTAATAGACAACGGTTAAAAAACCGTTGTTGTTTCTAGAAAAGACAACGGTTAAAAAACCGTTGTCTATGCGCGGGATTTACAACAACACCGGCTTCAACAACAGAAAGTATACCCCTACGACAACGGTTAATAACCGTTGTCTATGTGCATTTTTCTTGTAGTGTACGCTTTCAACTCGGGATGGAGTAGGGGGGCTAGTGATAGGATAATGGGAAAAAGTACTAGATCCAACCCGAAGCACATCTGGACTGACCCGCAGTAGTAAAAGCAATCAACATGGTCAGTTGGTAAGGGTTAAGAGTGAAGTAGGAAGAGGTGGAATGATTCTTAGAGTCCAATACCGCCTCATGAAAGAACAATTATTGAGGAACCCGGACACTTATTGAGGGGAACTGTTGCACTTATTAGGAGGCCGTTAGTACCCATTATTATAGTTGTTACCATTGCACAGTATAAAAGATGAACCAATGTAACAAGTAGGGGACTGGGACACATTTTAACTTTGTATTGAGACTATAGCAACACAATTTATCTCTGCTCACTTACAAACAAATATCTCTGAAAACATATTTACCATCAATAATTACCTAAAAATTTCTACTTAACCTATATATTTACCACAACAACATGCATACCTATCTTGCTATTGACCTATCTATCTACCCCTACGAGGCCCTAATCCCCTATTGCTATGGCCCAACTTTTGTTCGACTTAATTAGCGAACCATGTGACATATGACCTACCTTAATCCAGAGGTAATTAACCTACACCCACACACTTAGATCAAGTGTTTAGGACTTTAATTAGGCAACTAACAAAAGGGACACAAGATTACATGCAAACTGGACCAACCTTGTATATTCAAAGTCGAAATACACACAAGACTCACAAACACTCTACACAAAGATCAGAGCAATGCAAAATGCCACCACTCCTTTTTGCCAAATTCTCATCAACAAAAAAGAAAAGAAAAACATCCATGTGGGGCTAAAGGTGGTTGTTTATACATATAAGAAGGGTTACAAGCCAACTGCCTATCTAATAACTACCCTTAATGGAGGATAACTTCAAGGCATAATCACCCAAAACCATCCAAGTCCACACAACATGCTCTTAAAATTGCTCATCACATGTGCTCATATGTTTGGACAATGATATCTTAATTTTATGTCAAGTATTCAAAATTTTGAGTAATTTTTTTTTTTTTTTAAACGTGATATCTAAAATCTTTTTAGATAAGTTAATGCTAATGACTATATGTCTGATCTTCGTTTTCAGAGGATGAGGATTAATGAAGATTTATAATTAACAATTGATAATTGATAAATTTAAATTTCAAATTTAAAAGTCCCTTAGTGTTCTTGCTTTGAAAACGGATAGATGAGGTAAAGGGAGGGATATTCCTTAATAGGTTTACATGTCCCAAATGCTTGATTATGATTTGATGATATTATGACTTATAAGAGATATATTTTATTATTATGATTTTTTTTTGAAAGCCAACCAATAAATGACTGTATTAATGAATCAAATCTGCAATCGAGTCTGGAGGGATAGAATCCCAATACATAATTTGATCTTGAGAGAAAGCTAACGAAGCTAAAGTATATTTTAGGGAAAATGGCACTTTTTACCCCTGAGTTATATACTTATAGCAATTTTTCCCCCTCAATTATTTAGGTAAGCACATTAGCCCCCCCAGTTATTCTAAAAGTGGTGCTTTTTCCCCCCTGATATATTCAATAGACATTTATACCCTTAAAGTAAATATTTTATTTATTTTACTTCTCCAACAAATTATTGTGTATACGTAGGGATGACCACGGTTCGGTTTGAATTGAACCGGATACTATAGCAATCGAATTAATAGTTTTCGGTTATAATTCAGATCTAGAATCCAATATTTAAATGTCAATTTATTAAAATTATGTATCAAAAAAATTGAATCTTAAACTGTGAACCGGCGATTCTGGATCCGATTCGCGATTTTGAACCGTCTTTATTTTAAAATTTTATTTTTTATTTTAAAATAGTATAAATTCAACAATATATGTATTTTATTTTTTCAGTTCGGAACATGAACCGTCCGTTCTGGTTCACGATTTTAATAAACTCTAAATATCGGATTTCGATTCTAAATTGTAATTGGAATATTTCGGTTTGGTTGCTATAGTGTTTGTTTGGTTTGAACCAAATTATGGTCATAATTTGTTGGAGAAAAAAAATAAATTAAATATTTAGTTGAAGGGTAAATATGTCCATTTAACATTTCAGGGGGGAAAACAACCACTTCAATAATTTAGGGGGCAAAAATGCTATAAGTATATAACTCAGGGGGAAAAAGTGCAATTTTCCCTATATTTTATTATTATGATTTAATGTTTAACTATTTGTATTAAAAGCCATTTACATAATAAGTAATAAATACTCTTCTAAGTCCTGACATTAGTTCCAATCACATGATAATACACATCTCATTTTTGTCAATGACTTATGGTCTAGTGGCGTCAAATTGTTTTTCATATATGAAAAAAATTGTGAATTCGAGCCCAATGAAAATTATATTGACTTGTGTGCTTTAGTAAGTTCGAAAAAAATAATTATAAATAAATACTGCATTGTAACAGAGTAATTAGTACTAAAAAAAAATCATATGATAAATTGGTAATACACGTCTTCCATCCCAATCCATTTAAACAGTTTTCGAAGAGATTAGACTACTCGGGTAAAAGGCAAAAAAGCATCATTGCATAAATTCCTTGGTATATTTCACTCTTTCCCTCTGCTACGCCAGAGGGGAGGGAGAGAGATGAAGGCTGCAAGCCCTAGCGAGGATGGCGATAATGGAGAGAAGTTCACGGATGGAGACGATGAACGCGAAGAGCATTCTGGAGCTGAAGCTGAAGCTTCGAAGCTGAATAACTCAAGTGCTCGGTACTTCAGTCGTAACGCTTCCTCCAAGTATGATTTCGTCAAGGTCTTCTCCTCGCCTTTCCTCTCTTTCCTGTATGCGTTTTCATTATCTTCCATCCAATTGGTTCTGATTTCCTTGTGTTTTTATCAGGTGAAAGTGTGGTTGGGTGAGAATGCCAATCATTACTATGTTCTTTCGAGGTTTTTGCTCAGCAGAATGTTAACTGTCACTAAGGTTCGTTCGCAATCTTCTTTTCTTGATTACTGAAAATTTAGTTGCTGTTAAGTTTGATTATTGTTTTTTAACTTATTAATAAGAGTGATTAAGATTACGATCATTCAAAAATATGCATCAGGTACTACTTGTAGTGTTTTTTTCGCTATCAGGTTATGATTAATCTTAAATAACTGAAATGGTTGAAGATAAGCCTGTGAAAATTCAGTTAGCTATGACTCTGAAATGAACACAATGATGATGTATCTTCATGATCTTGAGGTTACCTTGTTTTTTCACTTATTGCTAGCTTGGATTCTGTCCTAGAGCATTCTGGCATTGTTTTAAGGTTCACTAAAATGGGCTTTTTGAATTACAGATACCGAATCATGTGGCAATTAAAATTGCTCTTGAACTTAAAAAGCTTCTTGTGGATAACAGCCTTCTTGATGTGTATGTTATCTTTGCTTTTTTTAATTTTAAATTTTTTTATTAAATTTTTATTTGAACTGCATCTTCTTTTTCTTTTTTGCGACCACCTGAATCTGGTGGTATGTCAATGTTTTCCAGGTCACAGTCAGATTTGGAAGCAAACTTGTTCAAGGTTTGTCTTGTGCAGTTGTGCCCTCTCTCTCTCACTCTCTCTTTTATTTATTTATTTTGGTTGCCCTGCTCTTTTTCTTTTGGATCTCAGAACTTTTGGGTTGTTTAACTTAATTTGTCAAGTTGGGACTTGGGAGCATGTTGTTTACCTTTCATTTGTTTGTGAAGTTTTTGGAATTAACAGTTACTCTTGGATGTTGTCTGCAGCTTATGGAGCGTCGAGGTTATGGGGAAGAGTATATAAACCGCTACAAGATGATGACAAGGTTAGTTAGATTATATTTGATATTTGAATTTTATTTTATTTTCTTTCTGTTTTATTTATCTGAGTTCTTTGCTTGAGTAAGTCATGTAATTCTATTTAATGTACGAAACCTGAAGGTAGTGCCACATTTTTGACTTAGCAGCTCTCTTTCTTCAGCATCATAATAGGAATTCTACTTTTCTGTTTGTTTTTCATAGCTTTGGTCATTCCAACAAATGGCTTTTGGAATTTGGATATTGGTCATGTATGGTCCATTTGATGTTATATATGGGGCATTATTCCATGGTTGCATAATATGCTGAGTGCTGCTAAGGCAAAAAGGCTTAGAAAGCCTACATAAGGTCCACTCTCTAAAATTGCTTAAGCGTCGATACATAGTGCCATAGTGGCATATATTTACACTAAAACATACAAAAAGGTAGGATGAAATATTGTATCTTCCAACAGTAATTTCAGTGCATCAACATTCTTTTGTTCTTCTCCATGGTTGTAACCCTTTACTTCCCAACATAGCTTACAGTAGATAGACCATTCATGCAATACCAAACGAAGAATAAACAGATCATTAGAAGTCAATTAACAATGCACCAAAAGATGATACGTTTCTGTATTATATATGATGCATTGGTTTATATTCTGATCATTTTTGAATTATCTCTCTCATTGAACTCACTCACATTTGAAAATTGATCCATTTGATATAAGGCATTCAATCTTTCAGAAATCACCATAAAATGATGTATATTTTAAAATTAAATTCAATAACTAGAACTAAAATCAGCATTTTTGTTGGGTTTCTGAAATAAGGTTCAACTTTCTTACTAAATGGGAAGAGAGATGATATTCAACTGCCTGATTCATTTTACAATTTCTTTGATCCATTAGATTTCACCATCAAAGAGTGCCTCTTGTTATTCTGGTATGTGGTACTGCATGTGTTGGAAAGTCCACCATTTCTTCCCTGCTTGCACAAAGGCTTAACTTGCCAAATGTCTTGAAGGTAAATCTGCTTCTCATATTATACTTTGATCTTCAGCCTAAATATTTTCTACAAACATGTTAATGCAAAACTTCACATGCTCATGTCTAATGTGTATGCTTCTTCTTCTTCTTTCAATTTTTTTTAATGGACAGACAGAAATGGTGTATGAATTACTGCGGACATCAACAGAGTATGTGATAATCTCAGAATATTCTTGCTATAGCTTCTTGATGCATTTGACTCATGCTTTCAGAATGCCCAGTCACTTCCTTTATTTTATAGATTGAGAACCTTATTCATCAATAGTTAGAGAGTCCCATGCAACGGTGGAACATTATTTTCCTATCATTTTATGACAGTGCACCTTTGTCATCTACTCCTGTATGGGCACGAGATTTCAACTCCTCTGATGAACTAATAACTGAATTTTGCCGAGAATGCAGAGTAGTTAGGAAAGGTAATGGAGTAGCTATTTTCACAAGTAACTATTTTTGAGTATTTCAAGAACATGACACTAGTTATTTCCATACATGTGCAGGTTTGGCTGGTGATTTAAACAAAGCAATGAAAGATGGAAAACCAATAATAATTGAGGTATAAATGTATAATCTGAATGCACGAACTGCCCTGTAGTTCTTTTCCCTCACAAAGATTTGTACTGCATTGTTTGCATTTGCTTTCAATGTTCTGTTACTTTGTAGATAATAAGAACCTCACTTGATGATTTTAGGAAGGATTGATGTAACTAACAACAGTTTTTTTTTTTTTTTTTAATAAATCAAATTAAATTAAATACATTAGGTCTCTAAAAAGAATATAAGCCTAAAGGAAAGATAAGAAGTATTGATTGGTATCCTATGTTAACAGCTCACATAACACTCACAGCTTGATGAACATCATTTCATCAATATTTATTTCAAAAGCAGTGAACTTCCCAATGGTGAACATTCTTTCCAAGGTAATAAACCTTATGGTGATGAACATTCATCCCAAATATGATTAGCATTTACTGTAGGGCATGCTATGCTTGGTTATTGGTGTCTCATAGTATAAGTTTCTAAGAAGCTTATGCACACCTGCTTGTAACTGATAAACTGTGACTAAAAGTGCCAAGCTGCTACATAAAGAACTGATCATTGCGTCTCTGCTTCTATTTCTAATGATGAATTTCAGGATTGAGTCTGATCTTGTTTTGATTGCAAAATTATGCCAGGGAATGCATTTAGATCCCAGTATATACCTGATGGATGAAGAGAACAAATCACCGTCAGCTGCACCATCAACTGAGGGGGGAGGGTCAAAGTCTGATACAGTGGTTGACAAAAATGAAATTCAAAACCATAGTAATTCCTCTGCTGAAATTGATAGTTTGAGCAATGACAAAGATTGTGACTCTGAGAATGTGAGTTTAGGAAAAAAGGATTTTGCTGATGAGTTAAATAAGGCAACAGGTGCTCTGGAATCTTTATTAAATGAAACTAAAGGTTAATGCTACTTTTTATTCTGCCAGCTTGTTCATCTTCCAGTTTTACTACTACTGATAATCTCCTATCTGAGATTTCCTCAACATAATTTCTCTAACCTTGATGCAGATAAAGCAGTTAAGTATTCAACAGCTGATGAAAAGCCTGCTCTTAGAAGAGCAAAATCTGGTGCTGAGCCAATTATTGTCCATATAGTTCTAAAGATGGCTGAATTTGATCACGAGGTCTGACTGAACTCTTTTTACAATTTACTTCTCTGGATCTATAACTTTCTTTTGAGTGAAAAGTTTTCTATCAATTATTCCCGGAAAAGTTGGTATCCTCACTTGTTTTAATATTATCTTAAACTTTGTAATTGTTAAGAGTCCCACAGTGATAAAATATGAGAGAACATATGGGTTTATAAGGCCATGGGTTAGACTAGCTAATTGGTTGGATTCAATCTTTTAGTGTGATTTGGCCCATGTGCATTATAGCCCAATTGAGTGACCCCCCAATCTTAGTTTATAACATGGTATTAGAGTCTGTTTGGTCCACTTTGGGTTCACCCGGTTATGGGTATTGGTGGTGTTACTGGTGTCTAGAGCTTTCGTTAAGAGAGAACATATGATCTTAGTTTATAAGATGAGGATATAATATTTCTGAATGAATCAACTAATAAGTCTGTACAGGAATATATATAGTAGCGAATAGCAAACCTAATACAAGACTAATACTAGTAACAATAGGTAACGAATACTAATAATAATAGAGTCCTAATACTCCCCCTCAAGCACAAGGTGGACTAGCTACAACATTGAGCTTGCCACACAGAGTAGAGAAACGCGGACCAGGGAGAGCTTTAGTGAACACGTCAGCCAGCTGATCCTTAGTAGAAATGAAGCTAACCTGCAACTCTTTCTTTGCCACTTTGTCACGAACAAAGTGATAGTCAATTTCCACATGTTTCGTACGAGCATGGAACATCGGGTTGGAACAGAGATAAGTTGCACCCAGATTATCACACCAGAGAGTGGGAGGAGCTGCCAACGGCAACCGAAGTTCATGCAATAGAGAAACCAACCAGGTGACCTCAGCAGACACGTCAGCTAGTGCCTTGTACTCGGCCTCTGTAGACGAACGAGCAACCGTATGTTGCTTCCGGCAAAACCAAGAGATCAGATTGTCACCAAGAAAAACCGCAAAGCCGCTAGTAGACTTTCTGTCAGCGGGGTCCCCAGCCCAGTCCGAATCCGAAAAAGCATGCACTGCAACAGAGGAGGATGGGCGAATAAACAGATCAAAATGCAAAGTGCCTTTAACGTACCGCAGAACACGTTTGAGCATTGCCCAATGCTCAGTAGTCGGGGAGTGCATATGCTGACAGACCCGATTCACAGCAAAAGATAAATCCGGGCGAGTGACAGTAAGATACTGCAGAGCCCCAGCAAGACTGCGATACTGCGTGGGATCGGCATAAGGAACCACCGATTCAGAAACGGGTCGAGTCACAGGCATCGGAGTAGCCAACGGCTTGCAGTCCACCATACCTGCACGGCTCAAGATATCTCGCATGTATCGCTGCTGAGAAAGAAACAAACCATCACCACGAGAGACCGTCTCAATGCCCAGAAAAAAGGACGGAGCACCCATGTCACGAATCTTGAACTCCGAGGCTAAGTCAGTCAGAAGCCGAGTAACACGCGAAGCATCAGATCCCATAACAAGGATATCATCCACATAAACAAGCACATATAAAGATACAGAGTCACGAGTGTATATGAATAAAGAGACATCAGTCTTTGAAGGTGAAAAACCAACTGACACCAAGAAAGCATGTAACCTGTTAAACCATGCGCGAGGAGCCTGCTTAAGACCATAGAGTGACCTCTGTAATAAGCATACATCATCCGGTCGTGACGAGTCCTCATAGCCAGGCGGCTGTCGCATGTAGACTGTCTCTGCAAGATTACCATTCAGAAAGGCGTTGTGAACATCCAACTGCCGAATTACCCAATCGCGAGAGACAGCCAAGGAGAGAAGAAGCCGCACGGTTGTGGGTTTTACAACAGGACTGAAGGTCTCAAAAAAGTCCTGTCCTGCGACTTGATTGAACCCCTTAGCCACCAACCGAGCCTTGTGTCGCTCAATCGTGCCATCAGCCTTGCGCTTCGTCCTGAACACCCATTTGCAGCCTACAACATTCATACCAGGTGTGCGACTAACCAGACGCCAAGTGTGATTCTGGAGTAAGGCATTAAACTCAAGATCCATGGCCTCACGCCATTCCGGATACCGAACTGCCTGAGAATAACAGGTCGGCTCAGAAACAGTCATAAGAGCCACATGCTGCGTCGGCCCCAAAGAACGAGTCGCCATAACATGAGACCGAGGTGGAACCGGTTTTACCGTGCGCCGACCTCGCTTGGGCGCCTTAGGAGCACCCGAGACTGCCACATCTGGAGCCACGGCAGTCTCGGTGCGGGAATCAGAAGCAGCACCAGCAGCCTCGGAACCCGTGTCCATCTCCGGACGAGGATCCGGCCCAGCAGAACAAACACCGGAGCTCGCGCCAACCTGAACGGCGCCAACACCCCACGGCTCAATCGGGCGAGAGCTAGAGACCTGAGAGGGGACAGAAGAAGCAAATGGAAATATGGTTTCATCAAACTGCACATGACGGCAAATGAATACCTTGTTAGTAGCAGGATCAAAACAACGATAGCCACGAAACGAAGACGGATAACCAAGAAACACACACGGAGAAGACCGATACTGCAACTTGTTACGATTATACGGGCGTAACAGAGGATAACAGAGACAGCCAAACACACGCAAGAAAGAGTAAGAAGGACTAGAACGATGCAACCGAGAATGAGGACTATCATTATCCAAAACCCGAGTCGGCATCTTATTGATGAGATAGACCGCAGTCTCAAAGGCATAATCCCAATATCGTTGTGGAACCGAAGCCTGGGCCAAAAGAGCCAAACCCGTTTCCACAACGTGACGATGCCGACGCTCAACTCTACCATTCTGCTCATGGGTATAGGCACAAGACTGCCTATGATTAATACCCAAAGAGACAAAAGTACGGTGCAACCGTTTATACTCTCCCCCTAAATCAGATTGAATAGAGACAATCTTACGACCATATGAACGCTCAACTAGTGACCGAAACTGCTCGAAGATAGCATACACATCAGTTTTCAAACGCATAGGATAAAACCATACATAGCGCGTATAGTCATCAACAAACAAAACAAAATAACGAAAGCCATTGACGGAAAGAAAAGGCGCTGGGCCCCAAATATCAGTATATATAAGTTCTAAAACATGAGACGTAGTAGTATTGACACGAGGCAAGGGAAACCGTGAGGATTTCCCAAGCATACAAGCACGACACAATTCCGAAGTATCACTAAAACTAGACTGAATAGAACATGAATTTAAAATCTGCAGCAAGACACGCGGGTGAGGATGACCCAACCGGCTATGCCACACGTCAGAGGAGACTCGAGAGGCCACAAACGCAGCGGGACTTGAACGAGAGACAGGCCAAGAATAGAGACCCCCCGAAGCCGGCCCTTTATATAGAACTTCCTTGGTTGAACGATCCTTCACAAAGAAACAATCAGGGTGAAACTCAAAAAAGACATTATTATCACGAGCAAACCGTTGCACAGACAATAAAGACGCAGAAAGCCCAGGAACATGAAGAACATCAGACAATCGAAACAGTGTTTTAGATGCGGCTAACGAAGATGAACCAGTACTAACAATAGGTAAACACTTACCGTCACCAACACGAAGATGATCCGGACCATTATAAGGAACCGCCGAGGACATTAAAGACGGATCCGGAGTGGCATGATTCGACGCACCAGTGTCAGGAAACCACTGCTGAGGATTAACCGAAGCCGAATCATCAACAGAATATGCAACATGTGCCCGCGGCCCCGGAGCGCCATCATAACGACGATAGCACGAAGCGGCCGAGTGGCCTTTGCCGGAGCAGATCTGGCACTGGACAGCCCCGGCGCCACCTCGACCGCGGCCTCGGCCCTTGCCACGACCTCGGCCTCGATTGCCGCCGCCACGCTGCTGCCCGCCCGAGCGACCTCCACCTCGCTGAGCCGCCATGGCGACCGGAGCAGCAGCAACGTCACCACCATCATCCGCACATATAAAGGCCTGCGAAACAGGAAAATCGGATAACTCGGGTAAAGACACCGGAGCACCCCTCGTCAGCGACGCCACCAAAGGGCGATATTCGGACCGCAAGCCCCGGAATATATACATATTCTGATCTTCTAGTGTCACCGGACGGCCGGCAAGTGCCAAATCCTCAATAAGCACCTGAGCACGCCCAAGATAATCCGGGATCGAAGCATCCCCCTGCCGCAATCCTTGCAGTTCGCCCACCAACCGAAGAGCACGGGCCCGAGTCGTCGAACCAAGGACCTGTTCGATCGCCACCCACAAATGCCGAGAGGAGGTTTTACCGATGGCAAGATGCATCATCTCGTCGGACAAGGACGAGATCAACAAGGAGAGCACGACCTTATCTTGACGAAGCCATGCACTCCGAGCGGCGGACGATACGGCCGACGAAGACACGGCAGCAGCAGCCTCCTCGGCAGAAGGTACCGTAATCGCAGTAAACGGGGGACACACAGACGTTCCATCGACAAAACCCAATAATTCTTGGCCATCCAGGAACGGAAGAAGCTGAGTGCGCCAAAACAAAAAATTACGGGATGTCAATTTGATGGAAACGAAGTGATGAGCCGAAGAAAACGACACCCCGGACTGCAGGGGTGCCACAAGCGCAGCCTCAGAAACAGTCCGTTCAAAACTTCCAACAGAACCGCCATCAGAACCGAGGTGCGCCATAGAGAGAGAAAAAGAACCTGCTGATACCAGATGAGGATATAATATTTCTGGATGAATCAAATAATAAGTCTGTACATGAATATATATAGTAGCGAATAGCAAACCTAATACAAGACTAATACTAGTAACAATAGGTAACGAATACTAATAATAATAGAGTCCTAATATATAATAGTAATATATTCTTCCTTATGGAGGCAGCTATTTTGGTTACTGAAAAGGAATACACAAACACACTAAAAGTGCTTTAAACACATGTTTCGTGCCATATTCTATTTATTCTGATAATTTTAAGTTCTCCTATTATGCAGGCAATGCTCGAGGAGTGGATATCAACTCGTACAAATGGAGACAAATATCCAGTCCAGGTTCTATATCTAATTATGCTTAACATCCTTGTTAATCTCTTTGTGGATTGTATTTTAGGCAATAATATTAGAGGCACCTTCTTATTGCAACTGAGCTCTGCATGTTTATAGGCATAAGCTCTTTTAGAGTCCATGAGCACACACACATGTACCCTATTATTGGTAAATTTTTATCTTTGAATCTTTCTCAGGACAAAGATAAGCTAAGGAGCAACTTAAAAATCATTCAGGATTACCTTTGTTCATTTGAGTCACAGGTATGTCTTTCCACTTGTGGTAGTGCTTGCCTGTATACCTTATTATCATGTGAGTATGACTTGGAATTTAGAAATTTATCATCACATAATTATTCAAATTTCTAGAGAAAATGATTTACATGTGGAATACTCCATCTGATAAGAATATCTAGGATATTACGACATTACGCACCCAGGATTCGCCATAGACTGATACATCACCTATTAATCTCGCATATTCAATGAGAAGTTACCTGAGAACTGAATACCAACAAGTACATGAACCCACAGGAACAAGATATTGATATTGCATACAACTAAAATCAAAGGTAGTATCTTGATATAATGTGCGAGATGGGGAGAATTCTTAACACAAGTGTTAATATGAAACCAAGGTTTAAAAAATGAATAAAGATTGGTTCTCCAAAATACAATATGTATTCTGTTTTTTTTTTTTTTTTCCTTCTTTTTTGGGCACATAAAATAGCAGTGTGAATAAGTTACTCTGGCACTGGTTAGATTGCCAATGGTGTGCCTGGGATCCTGGTCAATCATAACAGTAGACCCCTAATGCAGTTGTTTTCAGTTAAGATTATTTAGATAGGTAACTTTGGCTAATTGTTTCTTAACCACCAGCTGCATTCCTTAATGACAGGGTTTGACAGTTGTTAACACATCAGCTGCTGCATTTCCCCAAGCACTGGATTGGCTGCATAATTATCTTTTGCAGGTGATTCTCCAGTTTGTCCATTGACCAGTAATAAGCTTGGGCTCATCAGTGTGCTTTCCTAACCTTTCCCCTGTTTTTCAGCGCATAGAAGAAGGGATATCATCTGTTCCCAATGGAAATAGCGGGCAGGCTGCTTCAGACTAGATTGCTTTGGACTGCACCTGTGATCATCGGAAGGTATTTCCTCAAAGATGTATAACCATAGTATATGAACTCCAAGGCTATTATTGGCTTTTTTGCAAGTGCTTGCATTTTATACCATCTCATATGGAAGTGCCCGTTTGTATATACTTAGCAGTATCGGAAAGATATGAAGAGATTTTTGTACGAAATCAGTAGGTTGCTGCTGGATGTTCTTCGCAAGATTGTAATTTTGAAGTATATTGGTTGTGTAATATGCTGTCATAGGAGTAGGGACATCACCTCACCCAGAGAATTTTTAAGCTAGAGTGCTAGACAACATGTTATCACTGGTTGACTCTGGGATATCTTCCTTCATATTCAACATGCTTCATAAAGGTTTTTTTTTTTGGCCTTCAATGATTAACAGTTGGTTGATTTGGTTTGTTGTTATTTCGCGGGTGATTAAACCCTTTCTAAAAATTTAATTTGGCTTCAAATTTTATCCAACCATGAATTAAAAAGATTATGAAATGATTAGTTGGTATGCTTTACTATGTAATTGCAGAGGTTTTGGTGTTGGGTGGTTCTTTCCAATATAACAATCATTTATTTAATTTTTTTTTTTTTTTGGTGAGTATTACTAACTCTGTTAGTTAGAATGCAATATTGGTTCATAACTACTTTCTTAAGCACAAAGAGTCAATATTGACTTTATTGAGGCTTGAATTCATGATTTCTCATATGAGAGTCGAGTCAATAGACCATAAGGTCATTGGCAACCATCATTATATATCAAAATGTTAGCCAAGCATTTAATTGAATTGGCTTGTTTTGTTTATTGACCAGTGATATTTTTTTTAAATAAAAAAAAACTCCGTAGAAAATATTCCAGGCAGATCAGACGCAGATATGCAAGTGGGAGAATGATTATAAATTTATAAGGTTTGAAAGTAGTACATAAAATGATCAAATCTCATCATCCCATAATTCCATAATGTTTCTATAGGGACTGGAGGTTCCATTAGCAAGGAATTCTCCCCTCATTACTTTCCTTTCCTCCATCTTTTCAATGTCAAGTAAATCTTGATCGTGCAAATCCAGATCCATGGCTCCTATGTTCTCCTTCAGCCTCCGTGAATTGAAGCTCTTCACGATTACACTACTTCCCTTTGATAAACCCCATTTCAGAGCAACCTTAAACAAAGATATAAACAACAATGTCAATGCTAGTTCAATTTTTAAATCTTGAAAAGAATAATAAGATTTCTCTATGTTTGGAATGCAAAATTTTATCACCATCTTTTAGAAACCATCATTCCATTATTTTCTTTTTCTTCGTGAGTGTGTTTAGAAGAGCTATTAGAATCACTTCTTCAGAAGGTTATTTAGATAAATTATGGTTGGAGCGATTGAAGTGGTCCATCTAATTATAGAAAATCTGAATGTGAATGGTGAGGTAAGAATTCAATAGAAATAATGTAATTGGAGTGGTACGATTTAACCATCTAACCTTTCTCTTACCCTTTTCCAAAGGGCACATTTGAAGGGAATATATATATATATATATATATATATATATATATATATATATATATATATATATATTGCCTCCTATTCAAGTGAGTCCACTTCTTCTCATGAGTTCGTGTAGACAGATCTTATCCATTAAAAATTAGATATCAATGGTCCGATCTGGTTCATTATCAACTGTGCAACTGTACAACTAACTTTGAATGACCGTACCTGAGCTGGAGTAGCATTGTGTTTGAAGGCAATGGATTGTATGATGGGATTATCCAAGACAGCAGTTGTTCCCCAGGCATTTCCATGGCCACCTAGAGGGGAATATGCACTTACATGGATCCTATGCTCCCCACACACTTCCCTTAGCTTTCTTTGTCTCCACATCGGATGCATTTCCACCTGCACATTAATTAATTTTACCATTTATTATTTTCAATTTCAATTTATTGGGACCACATTAATTAATTAGCACATGCAATCTAACTTATTTTATTACTAACAACTACATACTTAGGTAGGCAATTTTTAATTTTATTTTTTTGTTGGGAGGTGGCCGCGTGTCCAATCAATAACAATTTTTTTTTTTTTTTTTTTATTTGGTAGCTTTGAAATTGGTTGACTTTTTCACAAATAAGAGTCAACTCTGTGAGCACAGGACCATCTTTTGAATTTTTATGGCTCTATTCTTGTAAATAATGAGATCTTAATTTAGCCGATTAATACATAAAAATTGAAAATTTGATCGAGAAGAAAATTGGATTATGTCAAAGATTTTGAACGATTTTGTCATAATCATGCTCAATTAATTAGGAAAGAGAAGTAAAAATTGGATTGCAACTTTGGTAATCAAAGAAATTTGGGGGAAAGTTGTAAAATTAATGGAGGAAGGAAGATTCTTGCTTTCTTCAATGGTGGTGCGTGGTTTGAGAAGAAAAACTGATGAATTTTAGGTAAGATAGAAAGAGATATGAAGGAATGTAAGCTTAATTGTAGATTTTTTTTTTTTTAATTTTATTTCTTAAGCAGCTATGTCAAAGTAGATATTTGACATTATACACGGACCAAAAATTGACCATAGTAAGAGCAACCTAATTCAAGATAATTCCAAATTAATCTCACAACCATGGTGAGGATACTTCAAATAGTAAGAATTGTGAATACTTTATGGATAAGTTTCCATCTAACTTTTTTAAGTAAACAACAACAATTCAAGATATATTAGGTTATAACTAGCTAGGCCGCCATTTAATAATTGGTTAAATCATCATTTTTTTTTTAATTTAATAAATTTGATTCCATGGCCAATGATACTATACATATACTGCTTCTGAGGAAGTATTTGAAGGAGTAAAAATTGAATGAATACATCCTATATGTTTAGTATTTTTGTAACACAAATAAATAAAATAATTAAACAGATGGAGAAATGAATTAATTTAACCTGATTAACAGCAGGAGGGACAGTGGCAAAGTTGAGGAGGCTTAGAATCTTAGCAGTGGAGAAATTGCTGACACCAATGGACTTGCAAAGCCCCATTTGAAGACATTTCTCCATCCCACGCCACGTGGCTTCCATGTCAAACTCCTCATCAAAGTCTTCTTCATTAGGCACTGGGTAATTTGCCCACTTCTTCAAACCCACTGGCCAATGCACCAGATACAAGTCTACATACTCCATCCCTAGCCTCCTGCAATATAATAAACACATGGCCATCGGCATAACTCAGTGACTGAAAGGTTCAGTTCGGGTGTAGATACCAGCAAATACCCGAATCACAAGCTCGGGGGTTAAAAATAAGCAGTTACACTGCGTACACATCTGACAATTTACCTCCTCTTGTAATACCCGGACAGAGAATAGGCCGGGGCCTTCAGGTTTGGAGTTTAAATCTATATATATGGACACATGGCAATATTCTATTACTACAAATAGTAAAAAAAGAAGTGAATGAGTTGACTTACAATAGGGTTTGGTTGAGAGCAGAAAGAGGATCAGTGTGATCACTTGACCAAAGTTTGGAGGTAACAAAGATGTCTTCTCTCTCAATCACTCCCTTAGAGATTGCCTTTCTCAATGCATTGCCCAGCCATGGCTCCGACCCATATATCTTTGCAGTATCAAAGTGTCTGTATCCCATCTGCTCCCATCCATTCACACCAACAAAAACATAATGTATGTTACACAACAACATATATATATGTATGTGTATGTTGTGGGGGGAGAATTCCGGGATAACCCGGGTTCAATTCCCACAAGTGACGATTCTCTTTGGGTCAGCTCTCGTGCATCTCGAAGCGAACGAGGATTATTAGTCGGGTGGACCTGGACCGTTACACTGACTGAGAAAGACCCGGACCACCTCATGGTTTACACAAAAAATATGTATGTATATATACTTAGTGTGACAAGGAACTCCTATATATTACTAGTGGCGATACCAACCAAGTTGGTCAACCCCAGACAAGTACTACTACTAGTGACAATCCAGTCAAGTTGGTCAGGTTATGTTGGTCAACCTCAAACAAGTTCTACTCCCTACGGGAGTGGTCTATTAGTCTTCTTAGTTTGAGCTGGTCAGGGCATTCTAGGCTGGTATACCTTTGTGAAATTTTGTTGGCTAAGGTGATAGGGGCAAGATTTATCTAGTGCACATTTTCAGGTCATAATTGCGGGTTTTTCTCACCATCCAAAAGGAATTCTTAATGAAAGAGTTTACGATGTGGGAGGGGAGGGTTTAAATTCAATTATTCATATACACACATGCATATATACATACATACCTGGAGTGCCATTTGGACCGCTTTCTCTGTTGTCTCTCTATCATTTTCAGCAGAGTAAGTCCCAAAACCAAAAACCGGCATGGTGTAACCGCTGTTTAGTCTAACTTCATTGTTCCTCATCTTAAATTCTCAGCTCTCAAAACCTTAATTCTCACAAAAATAATGTTTTTTGTTGACTGTGCTATGTATGAATGGAAGAAACAACTCCCTTTCAAGGGTTTATATAGGTACAGTCCGCATGAAAATATAATTTAATTAATAAAGTCAACCTTTCAGTTAGCTGTTGGGAAAACAAAAAACAAAAGACAGATTAAATAAAAATATATTTTGCTTATCAAATTAGATTGGATAATCTACCAGAATTAACTCAAAGATTAGACGGTGTATATATTATATTATTAGCAATATAATACTGTTGCTTTGCTTGCACATATTTATTTATACTCCTATATATTGAATGGTTGGTTTTGCGTTTGACCATCTCATGTTGATCAAGAAGGATAATAAGTTTAATTTTAATTTTAGATAGAATGTAAACTTTTTTTTCTTAATATATAAATCAATACATATTGCACTTTTTACTATAAAGTATTACACTTCACTAATATTTGTACGCCAAGAAAAAAGTAATACTTCCAAAAAAAATGTAGTAATACTTGTTGACTTAAGAAAAAATTAAAATATATTTTAATTAAGAAGTGTTATATATTTTGAGATTGGATCTCACTTGTCTGATACCGTCTCATGGATAAGGATCTGTGAGACAGATCGGGTCGAGTCGGGTCAATGTAGAAATGTAGTATTTATACTGAAAAATGTAATAGTCCCTTCGTCTCATTTTATGTGTCTGGTTCGGTTAACGAGACTTGACTAAAGTTATCTTTAATCTAATTTTTTATAATATTAAGTTTAATATTAGTATACATAATTTATATATTTAGAAACTACACTAAAAGTACTATTAAACACAAAAAATTAAATTTAAAAATAGCAAAAAATACTAAAGAAAATAAACAAAGAAGAAAGAGTTGGTTTGACCAATGAATAGTAAGTAGGACAGATAAAATGGGGCAGAGGGAGTACTAATAAGGAATAATGTGTTT